TAGTTTCAGTGTTCGGCTGTAGTTTTAGTGTATGGCTTTGACTGTAGTTTCAGTGTTCGGCTGTAGTTTCAGTGTTTGTAGTTTAAGCGTTCGGCTGTAGTTTTAGTGTTTGGTCAATGTTATCTGGGGTTGGTTGTGGCAAACGCAGCGGCACAGACACGTTTCAGAGCTGAAACCAGATGCAGATGAAGCTTCATCGGTTTCATTTAAAGCCCTAGTTTGACCGAGTTGTTAAAAGTTGTCAAAGTTAAATTTTAATTTGAAGTTTTTAGGGAACATGAAGTCAGAGCGGCTTCCTTACATTTGTCACAGCGATCCTCTGAAATTAATCTGAGCGGAGTTTCTGTTTAAAACAGGAGAGTTTAAAAGACAAACCTTAAATCAACAGATGAACTAACAGGCAGACTGATCTTCAATTAGAGACAGAGGAGGAGGAGGAGGAATCCTTCACTGCAGAGACTCTGAAACGAGAAGAAAACTGGACCCGAAAAGAAGTTTCATCCTTTCTGTGACACAGGGATTAGAAGCTGTTCATTAAAACATTTATCATGTTAGAAGATGTGAGGAGAGATTAAACATTTAACGTTTATAACAAATCATCTCATAAAATACCTTAAGCAAAAACCTTGTTACCCATCAATCTGTGGTTAGACCGACTGAGCAGTGTGAGACATTCCTGCACTCTTTATCAAACAACATAAACGTGTTCATATCCTGACGTCATTCCGGCTGCTCTCCAAATGTAGCGGTGAGTTATCTCGAACCTTCAGATACAGACTGCATTCTGACTTTGGTTCAGTAAAGTACCCGTTAAGGATCACTTCCATAACTGTCACCTCTTTTGTTTTCCAGCCTGAAACCCTGATTGATGGTCATGTGACTCTGTTATGAATTTACGTACAAACTAGCTCAATTACGCCCAAAGTAGTTTTTTTTAGCAGCTGATTTGGTGTCAGTTACTATCAATTATTGATCCTCTGGTGTCGACTCACACACAGCTGCTACAACCAGTGCAGGTCCATTCCTCCATATCTGCCCGTTAGCGGCTAACGCTAACTCCTACAGAACCCACCATGCTAATGTTTTATGGTCAAAATCTATCTAATGTTAGCAAACAACATTCAGTTAACCTCATTCACAACTTAATAGACTAAACTTGTGGTCGTCAACCTGAACCCTAAATTCCACTGGACACGGCTGCGATGTTTTCCGGCTGCACCACGGTTGCTGGTCGTGCCCGTTCTAGACAATGCTCTAAATTCCAAGAAGCTGCGGTGCGTCTCAGGAGTGTTTGTCTGGTCTATGTTTGACGGAAGTTGCGACACACTTGTGTCAAGCAGCACCGCGCAGATCGCATTGACACAAAGTCTGACACAGAAACAACACAGAGAATGCGGTCAGTTTTCAAAATAAAATACCACGTGATCTGAAGTGGAGAAACACGTTTCCTTTTGAAGGACAAAATACAGAATACGCGCTCTGAGGACGCTCCACCTCTGAAACGCTGTCGTTGGGATTTAAAGCGTCCTGAGGAGGAAGCACACGATCTATACAATGTTAAAGTTACATAATAAAAAGGAGAAAACAAATATTCCTAACATTTTATTTCATGTCCAGACCGAATAATGAAACCAGAATACACTGAATCATACAACCACATTTAAAGTAGATACACTACACAAAACAACAAGACACAGAAACAGAAATATTTCATGATTACAGCTGAACTCAAACAGCTAAAAACTGAAGAATACTTTTTGGTTAATAAAAGTTTTAGATACTGAACATAGGAATTAGAATGAGTCCACTGTAATAAAATGTGTATTAATATGAAGGAAAAATAACTGAAGGATGAAAAAAATAAAATCAGTTTATAAAAACAGAAAGTGTAAAATAAAAGCGACAGGAGATCAGATGACGGCTCGGAGGCTTCCTGTCCCGACTTTCTTCCTCAGAACCTCGACCAGACGCTCCAACCTGAGGAGGAAGAGGAGGAATGATTCATTAACACCGATGCAACCTGATCAGAAAGATTAACCCTTGTACAATTGCAGACAGTAAAATATTATTCCACAGTGGCTCCTGCAGGATCTGGTTTCTGTCTGAGGTCTGGGTGGGGGTCAGGTGAGGGAGGAGGGTCTGGCGGTGGAGGTGTTTCTGCAATGAACGCAGTTCAGAGAAAGAGATCATGGAGCCAAACCGAGAAACCGTTCAGATTGATGGTGTTTGACCCTCGAATGCGTATATGGAATCCTTGACCCGTAGCTAGCTAACTGTAGCTGTTACACACACACACACACACACACAGTAACTGTTCTACTGCAACCTGAGCTCATCTACACCCTGAATGTCTGACTGCAGGGACCAAACTGCCCCTCTAGCAACAGAGACGCTCACAACGTTAGCTTTCTGAATGTCTCTGTGGGAGAAATCCTTTGCTGCTGTTGATGTCCAGTGTGATCGGACTCTCACATAGGGCAGACAGGCTGTGGGTAGTTGGTAATAGAAGGGGCATTATAGCACTGGCTGTGGGTAGTTGGTAATAGAAGGGGCATCTGTGGGTAGTTGGTAATAGAAAGGCGATTATAGACTGGCTGTGGGTAGGTTGGTAAGGTAGAAGGGCATTATAAGCACTGGCTGTGGGTAGTTTGGTAAATAGAAGGGGCATTATAGCACTGGCTGTGGGTAGGTTGGTAATAGAAGGTGGCATTATAGCACTGGCCTGTGGGTATGCGTGAGTTGGTAATAGAAGGGGCATTATTAGCCTGGCTGTCGGGTAGTTGGTAATTTTAGAAGGAGGCGATTTATAGGAGCATTATAGCACTGGCTGCGGGTAGTTGGTAATAGAAGGAGCATTATAGCACTGGCTGTGTGGTCGTGGTTTAATGGTAGTGGAACTACCTGGTTTTGACTTTCTGTATACGCTGTAGATTGTGGGCGGAGGTCTAACAGAGATATCAGTGCAGAGACAGAAAAAGGAAAACTGAGATGAGAGTTGGAAAATTGACCCTGGATGACTTTCTAACACTCACTGAGGCTCTCTCTCTGTCTCTCTTTTTCTCTCTCTCTCCCCCTCTCTCTCTCTCCAAACCAAATTAAACTTCCTGTCTCTAATAAGCAGCAGATTTCTATCACCCCCCCTCCCCTCCCGAGAGCAAATATTCCTCTCTCCACTATTCAGAAACTTGGGAGGCTCTTCAGAGCCGGCCGCCCCCCCGCTGGCAGCCAAATTAGAGCCGCAGGTTTGAGCCCAGGAGGACGGCACGGGACGCAGACGGACGACTTAAGCTGTTTTCATCATGAATCTCATCCCTTCATCTTCAGACTGATGAGATGAGAAGCAGCAGAAGAAGAAGTCACGTTATTCAGCATCCGACCGTCATCCTGTAGGAGCCGAAATCTAAAGGATTAATTCTTCCTGATCAACTCGCCGGCAGAGACGCTCACACCGATGTCCGTGGAATATGAATCATCAGACCAAATCTCTTTAGTCCCACACGCTTAACTGGTCTTTGAACACATCCTGGAGTCTCTGAAGGCTGCTGTTAGAAACTGCAACATGTGTCTGATTTCGCTGGTTTCTACTGGAGACGTTTTACAGGCACACTTGTAAAATCTTTGAAGTTTTGAAATAAACTAATAATGAATCTTTAACAGGGCTCACGCTCTTTCATTTCATTATCCAGGACCTTTTCTTGACAGTACAGGGCCGCACTCGCTCACAAACAAGCTGCCGTTTTAGGTGAATTTACTACATTGATGTGGCCACAGCATTGTGGGTTTTTTACAGTTATTTACAGCGCGGGGCAGCCAGTGGCCGATATATAACACCAATATCAAAACAAAGAAAAGTCCTGTATAATTCTATTCTTCATGCACATGTTTACAGTAGGATGAATTACAGTTACAGTACAGGGATTGAAGTGCAGTGTGTAGTTTCTGCCACTAGGGGGTCTTTGACATCAAACAATAAGAAAAGGGGAAGTGTGATGAGGTGGTTGTCTTCACCACCATTGCAGCCCGGTTCAAATCTAGAGTTAAAAAGCTCCCAGATCTAAACAGTGGATGGTAAAAATGTTCACTGAAGTCTCTCCTTCACACTCACAGCCTGTTCTCATTCCCTTGTCGTCAAATACAGACGCAAGTGGTGTTCAGGTGGTTGTAATCTGCAACTTCACCACTAGATGTCACTAAATCTGAAACACTGATCCTTTAACAGAACTTCTGAAACTAAATATAAACGATTTCATTCTGGGGTCGAACTAAAGACGATACATTGATCACTACATCGGTGTGCACTTCAGGGACAGTTGGTAAAGTGAGACATTCAGTATCTTATAATTGCTGCAGCAGCTGCTCACATGAACCCAGGTGTGTATTTACCTGCAGCTCTTTATCGGCCAATCAAACAGCATGATGTCATCACCCCGTGCAGTGTGTTTGTGTGTGTGTGTGTAAAGCAACATGTCAACAGGCTTGTTGGTATTTTGTAAAGGTCACTGGATGTATGTATACACACACACACACCAGCGATCATAAATAAATGTGTGGGTGATAACCGTCATTCATTAGTGGGTGAAATATATAGTTTATATATTTATACATATATAGGACAGAATACCACTGATAACAAATAGAACTAAATATAGAGGGAACTGTGATCCAGGTAAAGTGGCAACAACATTTAATATTTATTGCATTGATTCTATGTTAAGTCTATAAAAACTCCCTGTATAAGGATGGTTATGGGATGGACTCTGTGTAAGCCATAAGGAGGCACACATTGTTCCCAGGAGCTTGGAAAACTGCAGTAATTACTCCAGTGTTAAATCAGGTGACCACATGGTCATTAGTAACCACTGACCCTCAGTATCCCTCATACATACATAGAAAATGGATCTCATTTAAAAGCTCAGTCCTTGGTGCCCGGTTAGCTCAGTGGGTAGAGCTGGCGACCCATGTGCCCAGGGTTCGAATCCGACCTGCGGCCCTTTGCTGCGTGTCATCCCCCCTTCATTATTTTGAGCTCAAATATGAATTATTACATCACCAAATGGTTTCTGTTGAACTCAGATTCACATTCATAAACTGGGAACTCTGAGAGGCAGCTGGACACTGAACCAACCTCAGTGGTTCGGACCAATCAGGGTCCTCAGAGGAACTACTGGCAGAGCTTTAATGCCAGCAGTGTGACTAATGGCGGCTGCTAAGGAGGTTAGCATAGCAACTGCTAGCATTATCAGAGTATTTCTATAGTGGAAGAAACAAAGGATGACACTGAAGGCTTTGATCAGCTGAACACTGCCGTTCCCTGTAGCTCGCCGACAGTTGTGGTTAAAGGTAGAATCTAACCTGCGGACTCTCTCGCTGGCCTCTCGCTCCGCCTCCCGACAGCGCTGAAGCTCCACCTCCACGCTCTGCTTCTCCTTCGACAGCTGCTGGACCTGGAGCTGCAGGGGCGGGGCCTGATGAGCCGCCAGCGACGAACCCGCCGGAGAGACACTGTCACCGGGCGACGAGGGAGGAGCGGTGAGGAGGTCCAGAGAGCTGAAGATCATAAAACATCAGATTTAAAGATGCTGGTATCGTATGAACCTAGATGAACGCATCCATTGGTACCAACCGTCAGGCTAGCATGTTGGAAAAGAGGCTAAATGGTGCTCCAAAGTTAGGCTAAATTCTACAGATGGAAAACTGCAATGGCTATTTCCAAAGGGATCATTTGACCTTTGACCTCCAGATATCTGAATGAAAATGGGTTCTATGGGTACCCACGAGTCTCCCCTTTACAGACAGCCCTATATTGAACGGGATTATGCTAATGCCAGTTGTGGTATGAATTTGGCCTGGTGTATCTGAATACCCCTGCAGACAGTTAAAAACGTCTGGACAGGCCCCTGCAGGCCGACCCTATTCAGCTACAACAGGTTAATTCCTAATAACATTATTTATTGTTGAATCCTGAACGGAACTGGTTCAAGAACCAGAGATAACTAGGTGGCAGAGGGGTACTCCTAATCCACTCTTCTCTTCCCAATAGTTCCAGTTTTGAGCGTTTTTTGAACCATTAATTTTTATCTCCACTTACCATCTTGTAACTAAATATATTCAACATGTGTGCGTGCCGGAATGTGAAACAAAAATATGCACTAATTCATTTTTAGAAATACCCTTCATCTAACTTTACAGCATCTTGTCTTTTTGCTATTGTGTAATCACTGAATTTGTTTCACAATTGCAACCAGTGAAATCTCCTGTTTTCACTTTACTGGAAGGATGTTTGGCGCTCTGCACAGCTGTGCCAGAATTTGTAAGTAATGTCAAAAAAATTTATGAAATGTATTTTTTAAAAGCAAGCTATCACTTTTTCACAGTCAATCTTTTCCATAACAGTTCAATCCCCTTTTGAAAAACTGCTGAAAGCTCGGCATTAGAAGCACTTGTTAGATGAAGCCCTCCAGACTTTTTCAGTGTTACTCACAAAAACACATTTGAAGTCCCACTTCTGTAAACGCTCACGCTGTAATTTTCTCAGACCTGTTATTAAATGAGATTGAAATCCTGAAAAGGAAAGAAAACATACCTCTTCTGTTTGTAGGTGAGCATGGCCTCTGCGATGGGAAGCTGGTGAGCTCCGTTAGCTCCCATCATGTACTGAGTTACCCTTGACACTACGTCTGGGTTCTCCTGGGCTGCACAGGGCACAGTGATTAATTCTCTACTACTGACTGTATAGTACCTGAACACATTATCAGAAACATAAATCAAGATGCTCACATCCATTTCTTAATTTCAAATACAAATTTTGTAACTTAGGAGCAAAAATGACCAGTTCTCCATATTGCAGATGTTCTCTAAAGACTACTAGAAACTAAAAATAGGTATTTAATCGTCAGTAAGACGTAAGAGCCCACCAACAACAGGAGCTTCTGGCTTGTGAAACAGGTCCCTCCAAGCAGCGTCCTGGAACAAACTGTTGTATCGATAGTCAATAGTGCCGAGATATTTGGAGACTGGATGTGTGCCTAAACCAATAAAAGAAAAACAGTCAAAATCAGACAACAAACAGCTTTAAAGATGCAGTGTTAAATTAATATAACTAACAAATAAGACCAATACAGAGAGGACTGGGAGCCTCCTCTGGTTTGTTGCCATCAGCAACATGTGTTAGTTTGCTTTATTGCATCCATTGGTACAACCGTAACAGGCTAGCATTGTTGGAAAAGAGGCTAAATCGGAGTGCTAAAGCTATGGCCAAAATTATACAGATGGACTGCGAAATGGCTAATTTCTCTTAGGATCAATATCATATGAACCATTTATGACTCACAGATAATCTGAACTTGCAAAATATCGGGATTCATCAACACGGAGAGTACTCACCACGAGAACTCCTTTACAGACGCTCCTATAAACCATATGAACCCGGGATTCTCAAAAAATCCTAATGCCAGGTTGTGTATGAATTTTTTGGCTGGTGTTATCTTGAAATACACCTGCAGAAGTTAAAACGTTTGGACAGGCCCTGCAGGCCGACCCTATTCGCTACAACAGGTAATTCCTAATAACATTATTTATTGTTTTGAATCCTGAAAACGGAACTGGTTCAAGAAACCGGAACTTACTTTGGTGGAAAAAGGGGTCGCTCCTGGTCAAACATTCCCAGGAGTTTCCCCTGTTTGGGGACAATACAGGTGTTATAAAGTGATGTGACAACAGTCGATGTGGACTCCTCCCTGTGACGGAGTGATAGTTAATCAAATCAGCTGTGGAATATTGATTAGCTTCTGATCGGGCCTGCAGTTAATTTTTAAAGGTAAACAGACAGAAACAGACAGACAAAGACATCCCAGAGGACAGAACGAAGGACAAACCCCAGTTCATCTCTCTGGTTCAGCTGTTTGTTCCGACGCCTTCTGTTGAAGTTTTTTACTATTTTAGGTTTGGGTTTCCATGGTTTAACCAGCAAGTTTGCCCGACCTGGCCGGGCAGTGGAGTCTGACTTGCCTGTCCACTGAAGCTCCTAAACCAAAACAACGCCGCAGGTCACAGTCAAAGGTCACAGCAAGGGTCAAGTCTTGTCCCCTGACCTGCAACAAATTAAGTTTTTAGTCAACAGATTGTAAACGTGCTGGGATCCAGATCCACCAGAGACCAGCTGTGACCCAAGGCAGGGATCCAGATGTTCATTAAAACCACTGAACAGGAATAAGCACACCTCAGGAGTTCAGTTTGTCCAGTGGGTTCACTTCATCTGGGATCAACCTCTGTGGCTTCCAACACTGAAAGTAACAGAGGACCACAGAGAGTCTGAGCAGCGGCTGCTCGTGGCCTGGGTTGTAAGCTTTATAGCTCTGTTAGTTTCTGGGTTAGCTCGGACCCTACCAAAAGCTAGCGTTCTGCTATCACTGCTGTGGACAGACTGTCCCGACCCCACTGTGGTCGGGTCGAGGTCCTTTGCAGTCTCTGATTGTGTTTTGCAAATTTGTGAGAGGGAGGAGCTAACAGAACTTGGAGGGAGGAGCCTACACTCTGTAGAGTCCGCCAGGTACCTTAGCTTAGGGAGACTCCAAGAGTAAGCAAGCCACCGCTATTTGAAGGTATCTCTCTTTTTTATTCGGTGTGGTACGCTGAAAACATTCTTTACAATGGAGAACGTAAGACTCACTTTTAGGCTAATGATACATTAATGTTAAATTGTAATTATGTTTAAAGCTTCAAGAAACATGGAGGCTGCCAGGGTCCCCTAAATGTGATTCAGTTCAGATAGTCTCATTAACAGCCCTGCTCAATTAGCTGTGCTCGTGTTGCCGCTGTGTTGACGTACACACAGCTATCACTGGAAGAACTAAAACATGATGATTGTCTTTTTTGTGGATTTTATGGACGTTCAGAGTAATATCAATGTGTATTTCAGTGAAGTTCACAGGGACTCAGAATCTCTGTAAGGCCAGAAAGGAGGACGGAGAGACTCACCTTCCTTGCAGTTATCTTTGCCTCCCCCTTGCAACTCTCAGCGCCCTGAGGAGGCTTTAGTCTTTTGTCCTACCTGAAAATGTCTGTCAACAGACCAAGATCCTGTGAGTCCATGAACCAAGCAGTTAAATTACTGAGACAGTTGGAAGGTTTCAATTCCCCACCTCCTCCTGTGATTTTAATATGTTATAATTATGTTTAATGTTTGTAGAAAACCCTGTCAAACACAACACCAGATATAAAGGGGTTATATAAAGTAAAATCAAACTAATCTTTTCTGAGAATGAAGAAAATAAACAGGAGAAATAGTTTTCTGTTTCTTCCCAAAAACACGAATAAAACGCAAAATCCAGACCACCCCCCCACCTGCTGAATCCCCCCTCCTCTGTGTCTCTGCCAGGCGTTAGCATCAAATCCTGAGTGATATATTGGAGACTCAAACCAGTTTTAACAGCGTGGGCAAACAAGCACGACTTCACTTTCTTTACATGACTCTGTTCTGTTCACTCTGCAGAGCTTTACAACTTTTGAACCATTAACAACTGTCCTTTATAGGGTCTGATGTTGGGGAAGCACGATAACACCAAATCAATAATTCAAGATTAATACAAACAGATAAGAACAAAATACACATCCTTTTAAAGTTTTCCCATAATAATTGAATGAATCCTGTTCTTTCTTTATAATTAATCAGTGTGTGTGAAAGCAGGAGTGAACAGGTTGTAGTGTAGTCCAACAAGAGTCCACAACCAGAGGTCCAACACAGAGTCCCACAACAGCAGAAGTCCAAACCAGAAGTTCCACAAACACAGAGTCCACAACACAGAGTCACGAACAACAGAGTCCAAACAACAGAGTCACAACACCAGAGTCCCAACAGAGTCCAACCAGAAGTCCCAAACACAGAGTCTACAACAACAGAGTCCAACACAGAGTCACCAAACAGAGTCCAACACAGAGTCCAACACAGAGTCCAACACCAGAGTCCACAACACAGAATCTACAACACAGAGTCCACAAAACAGAGTCCACAACACAGAGTCAACACAGAGTCCAACACAGAGTCCACAACACAGATTACAACACAGAGTCCACAAACACAGAGTCCAACACAGAGGTCCAAACAACAGAGTTCCACAACACAGAGTCCACAAACAGAAGTCCAACAACAGAGTCCAACACAGATCCAAACACAGAGTTCCAACAACACAGAATCTACAACGAACAGAGTCACAAACAACAGAAGGTCCAACACAGAATCCAACACAGAGTCCAAAACAGAGTCACAACAACAGAGTCCAACAACAGAGTCAACACAGAGTCCCACAACACAGGTAAACACACAGAGTCCACCCAACACGGTCAACACAGAGTCCACAAACACAGAGTCCAACACAGAGTCCACAACACAGAGTCCAACACAGGAGTCCCAACACAAGTCCTTAGCTTGTTGCTAATGCAGCTGAAAATTGCCCTCGCAGCTAACGTTAGCAAATTACTTGTTCAGCTTATCTTTCCTTCAGACTCCCGAAGGATGATGGTTGTAATCTTACTTGCTGGCTCACTAAACAGTATTGCTAGCAAAATACTATCTGAAGTTGGATATGTTAGTTGCTAACGTTAAAGCTTACGTAATACATGATGCTAACTATGTATTTCTGATTCCTGGTGTCGGTCGCTGTAGCGGTGTGGGGTCTGGTGGTGTTGCCTGTAGTGTGGGTCTGGGTGGTTGCTGAGGTGTGGGTCTGGTGTCGGTCCGCTGACGGTGTGGGTCTGGTGTGGTTGCTGTAAGGTTGGGTCCTGTTTGGTTGCTGACGGTGGGGTCGGTGTCCGTCGCTGTACGGTGTGGGTCTGGTGTTGGTTGATGTACGTGGTGGGTCTGGTGTCGGTCGCTGTACTGTGGTCTGGTGTTGGTTTGCTGTACGTGTGGGTCTGGTGTCGGTCCGTACGGTTGGTCTGTTGTCGGTCCGGGGCTGTACGGTGTGGGTCTGGTGTCGGTCGCTGTACGTTGTGGTCTTGGGTGTTGTTGCTTCATGGTGGTTGGCTTGATGGCTGATTTGTAAAACGGCGAGCTAGTTTAGTACATGGAGCT